GTGCGTGTGTGTGTGTGTGTGTGTGTGTGTGTGTGTGTGTGTGTGTTTGGTGGCTTAAAAGGTGGTGTATTGGCAAGTTAGAAAAATAGTGGTTTTAGTATAAATTACTTGTGATGCTACAGATAATAGAAATATCCGTCACATTGAAATAATATGCCTGTTTTACTTTTATGTAGTGCTGAGCAGTTTCACGTCAGATGTTTTTATGATGTCTGATTCTCACTTAGGTTGAATAATGGAAAAATGATACTTATACATAGAAGATGCTTAGTAATTAGGAATTATAAACAATCTCAAATGAGTCATGTTGAGAACCAAAACAGAGACTGTTTGTTTTTGTTTTCTTTTAACCCAGATAAAAGAATCACGGAGTGTTTTATGCATGTTCTCATGTAAAACACAGTCTTTCCTTATTAATCAAAACTCTCTGATGATTTTCTTCTCTGGAAGCTCCAAACTACAATTGAAGAAGTCTTCTTTCCTGTATTAGGCATTTGTTTTTATTCGTGTGCTATGTCCTTGGCCTCATCATTGAAAGCAGCCCCAACATTCCTGCTAGAAATGAGACAGTTTGACATAATGTGAGCATTGGGAAGCAGTGTGGGACCTTAGTGGATTGCTATTTAAACTTAAAATCTAAATAATATATTTGTAATTGTGAATATCCAGATTTATTTTAAAATAGCTAATGACAACACAGTTAAATTCTCGTTTCCTTTTCATGGTGTAAAGAATTAAAATATTCAAAAATAAAAACACGCTAATACTCCAAGACATTTTCTGCTAAGGTCAGAAAATAGTCTTTTGGGGGGAAAGAAGTTGGTTTTGAACATATTCGTCAATTCTTTGAAATGCTTGATAACTTTTTGCCTCTTTTCCTGAGCAGGTGCTTTTCGCTATGACTATGTTGGCATGAACTTAAGGACAGTACTTCATAGAGTGTTCCAGCCTTATCAGACATTAGTTTCATCAGCTTTCTCTTCATTGTTAGAGTTCACAGAACTCTTTAACATCCTCACAAGTAGTTATCCCATAAAACTCTATGATACATGACATAAATACTTGTTTTTCCTTTCAGCCTTATAGGCAGTACTAACAGAATCCTATGCAGCTTGCAATAGCCACAGCTGCCTTATGTATCCCATTTATACAAAATCTCTGCATTTTCTTTAATTGTATGTTGTATCTTTGAAAAAAGGATGCTTATTTTTATCAATTTGCCTTTTTTAAATTTTAATAGTTTAAGGATTTTTTTTTTTTTTACATTTTTCCCGTACTAATTTGTTGTGCTATTTCTGAGGTGATGAAAAGCCACAGTGGTTGAATAATCCTGTGTCCCTGAAGCAGTCTGTCTTCAGCATGCTACTCATCTGTATGTTTCTTTCTGGTGAATATTAGAAACTTGAGGATATATATATATATACATACATACATATATGTATGTGTATACATGATATGTGCGTATTCACACATGAAAGCACAGGTTTTTAAATCCGTTACACCTGTTTAACCAATTTTAGCCTGAATTTTGCTGTGAAATGGAGTTTAAAATTTTACATTATCTGCTTCATATGGGCCTGGGAAAATTAGGTAATGATGCACACTGATTAGCATACAATAAACATTCAGTATATATATGAAAATACTTATCATTAGCTATCCTTACTATTATTTCATTGGGATATCATGGGTATGTGACTAGGTTCCACTGTGCCATTCAAGAACCCTTCCAGCTCTGCTTTTGGCTTTCTGTTTTCACGATTAAACCATATGGGCTTCTACCTGTCTAGAAACATGACAGCCAGTTTTAGAAGGGATATTATTAAAGTTGAGAATAGAGTATTTAATTATAGCAATTTGGAACACTAATTTTATGTCCTTAAATATTAAAGGTTTGTGTCTAATGGAAATGAATTGAAATACTTCGCCTTATTCTATACTATACAAACATTATTTATATAAAGAGCCTGCTGTTGCTACTGTTATTTTTGGAAGAAAGTTTAATATTATTTTACATTCAAAATTAATATTTGAAAATATATTCTATGGCTTAAGTAGATTATAAAGTACAAAAGTACAATAATGAAATTTCAATTAATAAAAATTATTCCTCGAGGATAGCATAAGAATTTGTGGTTTCATCATGAAAGATATGCTTTTGCATGACAATTCTTACAGAATTTTTAGTTGGAGCCAAATAAGTATTATTCTTTAGATAAAATATTTCAACAAAATTGTGAAAAAAATTTGGGAAAAATGTCAGTAGTGAATAAACCATTGCAAAGTGTCATCAATACAAGGAACCTGTATAGATGAGGTGTGCATTACACATGTGTGTATATTGGGGAATATGTTAGCAAATCTATCTTGAATGCAAGTTTCTAATTTTAATTAATCTTTCACAGTTTTGAGGTTCATTTAAAAATTATTTAGGACTGCTTTCTTTGCTTTTTTCTTTCTCTCTCTCTCTTTTTTTTTTTTTTTTTTTTTTTTTTTTAAAAAAAAAAAAAAAAAAAAAAAAAAGAGGACGATAAATCTTTCACTGTGATATATCAAAATAAACTCACAGAGATCTGCCTGCCTCTGCCTCCCAAGTGCTGGGATTAAAGGCGTGCACCACCACATCCAGCAGGACTGCTTTCTAATATGTTATATTTGCCATTACAAAAGAATTTTGCAACTGCCCCATTTTTAAAGCTATTTTTTGTAATAAAGTATATTTTGGAGTCACCAGAGCTGGGAAATATACCGTGTGCATATAATTTTCCTGCATTAATGATAAATTTATTGCTAAGCTAACAAACCTACTTAGCAAAATTTAAATTACTGATTAATATAAAATTTTAGGTGTACTACCATTGGCTAAAACATTCCAA